CCAATCCCGCCTTGACCTGTCGCAAAAGGGCAACAAATGAAAAAGAGGAGCACACTCTCCCGAAAAGGAGCGACGGTTGGACAGTCAACCCCCGTTTCGTCTCACATGACATCCAAATATGTGCACTCCACCTCAAATACGTACCTCCCTGGACGCCGCATGCATGACGTGTGGTTTCGTCACCCGCAATGTGTTTTTCCTCCCGCAAACAACCAAAAGGATGGCCATGGCGCAGCTCCACTCAGGGGAGGCAAATCGGGGCATACACGGGTGGGAACCAGAGACCATACCAACAATAAAAAAAGGGTGATAACACCTCCAATCCACAGAATCGTCCAGTGTTCATCCCTCTTCCTCTAAATTCAAGACCTCCTCAACAGAACAAATGCAACAGACACATGTGCAGCACAATATCTTCCGCTGCCCCGCGTTCCATCTTACTTCTCATGCGTGCCACGGCGGCGGTGCCTGCGTTACACCTGGGATGACTCCAAAATATCAAGCACCATGCTGCGGAGAGTGGATGCCTGACAAACGTGCCCACGTTAGCGCCTAACAGGAAATAACACCAAAAAAAAAACTACCCGCGACTCAGGCTACCCCTGTGGCCGTACCAAAGCGACATTGAAACACGCGTGTAAAAATGTAAAAAAAGGAAAAAAAGAAGGAATCACCAGAGCGATCCAAAAGAATACATCGGTATATGCATACACAAAGTAATACACCATTCCGCATAATTCGTCGTTCCTTCTCTCGTTGTTCTTTCGACACAACATCAGAAGCATAAGGAGCGGCAGGCATGCCCTCCCACACAGTCATCGTGCAACAGGAGGGAGAGTCACTGCAGGCACCCGCACAAAAAATAGAAACAAACCAACAAAAACCAACAATCAGTGACGCTGTCGGGGCGGAGTCTGATGGGTGGCTGCGCAGCTGCACAGCCGTGGCCCCCACGCCCTCCCTCATGTCAGCCAAAAACGCACACTCACAACCTCCAGGAGGCGACGCGTCACAGAGGGGCTTCATCGATTGTTTTCCCTAACGTTTTCCTGAATGCATCCTATGGCCCGCACACCAGCCACCATCGTCAAGCACGTCTTCATTACTAAGTACAGATATGAAAGAGAGCAGCAGTCCCCATACACGGTGCTGAAGCGAAGAGCGTAAAACACGCACACACACCCGTTACGCATCCGCCCTGGGCTAGCGTGATAGTTCGATAATCCGTTGTCGTCGATAATCGGTAAAATAAAATAAAAGCAGCAAATCAACCACCCAATCAATCCATAAATAAAAAAAGGAAGGGAGAAGATCCCTGCCAGAAGCATCCACTTTATGCCGAATCCGCAAAGGGACTTTGTGCCTTCTCGCCGCTTAACGCTGCTGTTGGGGTCGGGGTCTTTACACCACAAAAGCAAAAACTGCGCTAATTTTTTCGGCAAGCAGAGCATCCTCACCTGTCCAGAGGGGCATAATTAATGCTGCAGCTCGCACTGGATGCACACTCGAGCAGGCTCATAGCGTCTAAGCGGGTGTCACCGGCCATAGGGTGCAACGGCACTGCGGGTGGTCGGTACGACGACGCAACGGTGGTGCCTGAGGCGTACGACGATGAATTCAAGTCGTGCAGCTTCTGCGTGTCTTCGTCGCTCTCCTCGTCATCGCGTAGCAGTGCCTCCAGCCCTCCACGCCGCGGCTCGCGCAGCTCCTGCCAGTGGCGGTCCTCCGCGTACCACACGACGACGCTGTACACAGTGGCCGCAAGCAGCACAGTCGTCAGCAGCAGCACGATCGCCGCGTACGCCCTCGCACCGCCGTCGCTCGGCGCAAGGTGGTTGGCCGCGCTGATCACGCACAGCGCCGCAAGGAGCAGAAAGCTCGCCGTCTGCATCACCGTCAGGAAGGCCGAGCGCATCATGTTCGTGAAGGCAACCACGCCCGCACCCGCAAGCAGCACAGCCGCCATGCAGAAGTACTGGACGTGGCAGCCTCCCACGGGCGGGTGCACAGCAGCAATCAGGCACACCACACACAGCACCGACAGCTGGAACACGCACCAGTACACGTGGCTGTCCCTCATGTTCGTCAGCATGCCGCCATACATCCGCTGCTGCGCCGCGGGGTGCCAATACCCGACGGGGTACAGCAGACGCTCTTGCAACGGCTTCCTCAAAAACTGCCAGTACTTCGTGAAACTCGCGCCCACGTGGCGGGCAATCAAGTAGCACACGCCGGCAAAGAACGCCACACCGTACAGCACGCCAACAACTCCAACCACGCGGTGCTGCACGCGGGCGCCGGGCATCGCCAGTGCGAGAACGGAGCCGAAGAAAACGCCGAGGTGCATCGCGTGCGCCACAACGTACGTCAGGCTCGGGAAGCGCATCGCAGCCCACGCACTCGCCGCGTCCACGCCGCGCCACCGCTGGAAGGCCGCCGTCACACCGCAGTGCACGCACCCAAACACAGCGGCGAGCAGCGCGTTGCCCACCACCATCCACAGCGGGTCAAGAGCAGCAAACACCGACAGGAAGTACGGCAGCGCAACGGTGCTCGCACGCTCCTGCGCCGAGGCGCACGACATCCTCGCAAACATGCCGAGCGCCTGCATCTCCAGAACGGAGCCGAGCCCGCCGGTCACCAGCACGGCAACGGCCGCCGCACCCGCAACAACGCCGGTAATCGCCGAGAGGGCGCTGGCAGCGGCGGGCAGCGTGTTCGACCTGATCGTGAAGGAACCAAGCAGCACACCCTTGCAGCCGCCGGACACCGCCACAGCGTCGCAGCGAATGACTATCGTCTCGTCGGCAACAATGAAGTAACCGCGGTGCACGGGCACAGCCAGCTCCAGGACGGTGGACGGATTCGTCGCGTTGCGCACCCACGTCGCGTTGCGCAGCATCGCTCCCCACGGACCGCCAAACCCGCTCGGCTGCGCCATCGACACAGGCACAAAGCTCAGGTGCGTGCCGAGCTGCGGGTCGCGTGCCCACCGAAACGGCGGCGGCAGCGCCACCATCAGCAGTGTCGGGACGGCGCTCCCACCGCCGCGAATGTCGTTCTGCGTCAGGCTCCCACCAGCCGCCGTCGTCGTCACAGCGAGCGTCGGGCACGCCACCTCGCTCCACCACAGCGTGCTGCTCACCGACGCCGTCGGGGTCCGCGTGGGCGACAGTGCCAACGTCTCCGTCACCTGCAGGGTCTCCGTCGGCCCGTGCTGCGTCGGACTGTAGCGCTCCGTGCTCAGGCTCATGCCCGGCGTCCATGTCGGTGTCCACATCGTCGCCGTCAGCGTCGCCGTGTGGCTCAGCAGCGGCATAGCGGGCGTGCGGTTGCACCCGTCCACGTGCGGCAGGTACACCGGCAGGCAGTCGCGCCCGTACCCGCCCTCAGCACAGCGGCAGACGCACGAACCCGACATCGCCCTCGTCGCAGCAGCAAAGCAGTGCACGTCGGCGTCGCACACGCCACACGCCACAGGACGGAATTCCCCGATGATGCCGGCGGACCTGTAGTCCATCGGCTGCAGCGCCTGCCCGTTCAGCGTCAGGCACCCCACGACGAATCTTCGGCCGGCGCCCCCAGGCGCCACAATGCCGTCCATCACGACGGGCCCACGGCCGGCGTTCCCGTGGAGCGTCAGTGTGCTCTGCACAAGGTCCGCACTGCGCGGGTACGACGGCACCGACAGGAGCCTGCCGCCGATGCTGTTGCCGCGCACCGACAGCCACGAACCGGACACGAACGACGCCGACCCCCGCAGCTCCAGCAGCGCGCCATCCGTCAGCGCACCGGCGTTGTCGTTCACCACGACGGCGGACGTGTTAGCCTCCACACCGCTGTCAAACACCAACCCATGCGCGGCGTACACCTGGCTCCCCGACACGCGCAGCACAGCGCCCCCAGACGCAACCACGCGCGCACTCGCGTACAACGAATATTCGCCACCGAGCACAGTCGCGTCCAGCGCAACGCCGCCACCGACAAGCTCCAGCACGGCGCCATCTACCGCCACCGTCCGCCCACCAGTCATCACGGTCACGAGGGCAACGCCGGACACAACCAGCACGGACCGCACAAGCCGCAGGCCCGACAGCACCAGCACCGGTGCGTACGGCGAGGACTGCGAGCCGGGAAGATACACAAGCGGCGTCGACCTCGCGGCAACCAGCAGGGAGTCCGTCACCGTCAGCACGGACCCCGCGGGAAACGTGCCGGTCAGCACAAGCGCACCGTTCAGCGCCTCCACATCGCACACCGACAGCTCCACCGGCCCGCCCTCGTCGCTCCCCGCCGCCCCCGCACCGCGCAACGCTCCTCCGCCCATCACGTACAGCACGGCGCCGTTCAGCAGCGACACGTTCTTCACAACGATCCGCACGCCGTCCCGCGCCATCCATGGCACGTAGAGCAAAGGACTCACGCCGTCCAGCACAACGTGGCGCAGCGTCACCTCGCTCGCACCGGCAGGCACAACGAACACCGACCGCACCGTCACGCCCTCGCGGACGAACGCACTCGACGCAGTGCCCACAGCAGGCGGCAGCACGGGAGCTCCCACAGGCACGCACGCCTCGCCGTACCCGCCGCTGCCGCACGCGCACGCGCACACACCGTTCCTCATGCTCGCCGACGCCGTCCCGGGCGCGTAGCAGTGCATGTCCCTGTCGCAGGCGTCGCACCCAGCAACGTCGATGCTCCCAGCGTCGCCAAAACCAGCCGCTGCGTACTCCTCCGCCGTCGACAGGACACGTCCACCAGCGTCGTTGCACGCCACCCTCACATGCGCCCCAGCCACAAGCGACAGGCTCACCGACAGCATCCGCGGCAGCAGCGCTCGGTTGCGCACAAAGCTCAGCGTGCTCCCAGCAGCGGTCACGGCGCCAGCGGCGTGGAGCAT